CGCTTCCTGTCACCTCTAAACTATCCTATCACAATAAAAAAAGACAAAAAGAATTAGAAGTTATTTTGCCTAAAAAATACACGAATGTGACATTCATAGTCAAAACTAGGGCTGGGTAAAAAATATCGATATCTCGATATTAATCGATTCTCATTTTTACAGAACGATATCGATTCTTAAATCCCAAGAATCGATTAGTCTAGCCAATAGATGGAACATTGAAGGGCACTTCCCATCCAAAATATCACAATAAGCATTGTGCGTTGGTACTTTTAATATGAAACAAAGTCTCAGATTTCAAATTCTGTCCATTGTATTGCAATATTCAAACAATAAATGCCATTTTGGCGCTGTTTAGTCTGGAGTGACAGATCGCTGTAGCGCCTCAGTTCAACAGACGCAGCAGCGCGAGGCGCACGTGAACTGATCATCTCCTCCACATTAATACCAGCTTCGGCACAAAATAAACATGACTAAACATCCAAAGATAAGTTAAAAGAAAGAGTACAACTTTACAATCCGTATCCTGTCTCATGTAATCGCTCAATCAGTGTTTCAGCCGCGCAGAGATGTCGTCTTGTAAACAATGTCACATTTACCTCAGAAAAACATATTTGGTGACCATAAACTCATTAGTCAGCTAGAAAAATAAACTGTAGAGAGGGGGCCTTTTGCTAAATATATGCACCATATAACATATTCCTTATAAATTTTACTGTTCTTCAATGTTTAATTTATCTTTGAATAAATCCATCAAGTTTTTATGACAGCCACCATTATGTTTATATTTAAAAAAAAACTAATTGAAGTAGAAATATTATTATGTAATTGTAACTTTATTATTTTAAAACTTCATTAAGCGTAATTTTAACAAATCAGTCAATTTTAACCTTCAATATTATAGTAATGTAGTACAAAGTGACTCTCAAGTATATTTTACAGCATTAGTTGAGAGATTTTTTTTTCCTTGAGAAAATTTGGCATGTACTGTACCTGATATATTTCCAAAATAATCGATATTGAATCGAATAGAATTGGTAATCGAATCGAATCGAATCGCAAGCTTGTGAATGAGAATCAAATCGAATCGTGAAATTTGTGTCCAAACCCAGCCCTAGTCAAAACCACCACCTACCTACCTTATCGAATGCTGGATAGATGGCACGTAGTTCTGTTAACCAGCCGTAGGGCATGTGACCAACCGGATATGTTGCTGTGAGTACTGCCACCGCCTAGCAAACACACACAATTCTGTTAGAACAGGCTGCTGTGTGTTACTGTTGACTCTAGAACATATTAGCACCCATCAGTACTCACTTCGGTTGATGCAGCACTGCCTTTGAGGTCCCGAGAGACAAACAGATTGACAATGGGCCTGCTGATGCGCTGAGTGGCCAAAATGAGGGCAAGTGGCCACCAGAAACTTAGCATCTTCCTTACAGTGGTGTCGCCCTGGAAGTGAACAAAAGTACTCTGAGTATAGGATGCAACTTTATGAATATTCAGTGAAAGTCTTCTTGATAATCATACCCCCTGTTCGATGCTGCTTGACTCAGGAATATTGTCGTGGACGTTACAGTAGTAGCCCAGTCCTACGATAGTGAACCGCACCAGAGCTCCCATGTACAGAGAGAGAATGGGAATGAGAAGAGGCTCTAAACATTCCAGGTTACTCTGGAGAAGAATCGCCACAAATGTTATCTGCAGGCAAACAGAAGAGTCAAGAATCAATTAAATATTGGGCAAGTTTAAGTACATGTTTAAACACATGACAAACATTCAAAAATATGTATGCATTCAATAGTTAAAAGAAAAGAGATACGCTGTTGCTGCTACATGCTATGCAAATCTGCAATGCAAAATGAGTGCTCAATATAGCCCTTTGGCAGGTAGCACATCTAAAATAAAAAGGGATTTGCATATACATGATGTGCCAAAAATTGTATAGATGTTAAACTATTTAATATTAGTTTAATTAAATCATGTTAGTTTAATAATATTTTAAATACAAAAATGTTTAAATGCATTAAAATATTTAAATGTCATGTGTTTTACAGTCGTGTTGTGCCTATATCACTATTTTCTTACAATAACTTATTTTTAAAAATTAATGTTATATTTTCATTTTTACTTATTTATACTACCATTCAAACGTTTGGTCAGTGCTTTTTTGTTTAGAAATGAATACTCTTATTCAGCAAGATTACATTAAATTGTGAATCAAAAAATCAAAAGTGACAGTAAAGACATTCATAATCTTACAAAATTATTTTATTTTAAATAAATGCTGTTATTTTAAATGACTAGGCCTAAACTTATGTGATTTCTTTTGAGCTCTTTGTGAAACTAAACAAATGATTAAATTCAGTTGATTCATTTGAATAGTCAGATATTTTCTTTGCTGCCGGAGCAGTGTTTATTTCTGCATTGTAAATGCATTTCAATTTATTATATTTTTAATAACAACTTCTCTTAATCTTCAGCAGAAAAGTGAACTGTGCCGACTCACAAACTCTGGATCAAATCCTGAGTTGACAAAGAATGTTTATATCAAGCGCTGTGAGCCTGCTGAACCTGATCGAAACCAAGCTGGATTTGTTTGGTTTTGTCAAATCTAAACCTAATCTGAAACATGCATGCAACAGCCATTGTTGAGCATTAGATTTTTTTTTTAAATCATACCAAACTCAAACGTTTGAACACTAGTGTGTATACCATTTGCCATTTTACATTGTTTTGATACTATTGTTTATTTTAATCATATCTTTGTGGGCTATAAATAAGGCAAATAAGGCAATTCGTTAGAAATAAGGCAATTTGCCCATTCAAGGTCAAAGACAATTACAGTGCAGGGAAGCAGTAATTTTCCTTTACTTGTTATAATAAATTTAATCAGAAGGCTAACTAAACATCAAGAAAGACACAACTAAGAATATTTCATTAACTCTGCTCAGTTGTAACATCACTTTATCTCTTGCTTCCTGCTTTTTCTCTGCCTCTTTGCTGATAAAAGACTTAACAAAGGTCTATCATTTGAATATCAGACAAAAATCTAACATTTAAAATGCAACACTTTTTTCCAATTGTGGCACAAGGGGAGATGACAGGAACTTAGCACACAACAGTTTTAAAGAGGGCTACCTGTGCAACAACATCAGAGATAGAGGCAGATCCCACTAGCAGGCTGTACTTGTGCTTGAGGAGGATGCCAGCATGAATCCACGCCTTTGGAGCAAAATTAAATCAGTACAAATGAAAAAAGTATGTACCATTCTACTTTTGACTATTTCTGCAGTATGCATACTGTGCACCGTAGGTGAATTGTCTGCATGCATGGAATACCACATGGAAACTATAATTGCCAACAATGGCAGTATACAGAATATAGTGATCAAAAGTCTGAATACCACAATACAATGCACTCAATGTGATCCTCCATTTGCATTTTGTAATAACAAAAGTACAGGTGCATCTCAATAAATTAGAATGTCGTGGAAAAGTTCATTTATTTCAGTAAGCCTATTAACTGCAATTTTTACACCTCTTGTTTGACTCTTGTTTTTACATAGCTCATACGCCTTACTATTTCACATACTAACAGGCAAAACTGTACGTAAGCAAAGTATGCAACAAAAACTTCCAATATTCTTATCCAAAAGATGATCTTGAATCTCCTGTTAAAAGTTATATTATGAGGTTCATACTCACCATTGCATCTAACAATGGAAATACTGCGAGGTACAGGAATGCCTTTCTTGTCTTGCTTCCTACTGAATCATCCACATGGTGGAGCTTATTTATGATGTAGTAGCCCAGATCTGTGTAAGCTGGGGAAATGTGACAGTTTTTAATAAAGGCTTTCACATTAC